TATATATATATATATATATATATATATATATATATATATATAATAACTCTAAAAGAAACTATATAAGCTTTTGAAAACCTTAAAGGCTATTAGAATGGAGACAAAAAAACAAAGATAATAGATGAGGATGGTTCTCTCGGTCGAATGTATCTGTGTTTTTTCTACAACCATGCACTTCGGTTTAGAAAGAGAGAACCATCGAATGTCAATCATGGAAAAAAAAAGGAAATGTTGTTTTCACAGTATATCCTCACCAAATGCTTTCCTAATATACTTGGAATAGTGTCACTTAACAATTCAATATCAAAGTTATTTCGAAACATTCTTCTCCCTTAGTCTAAATCTTTGGGATCCTAACCAAAGTTCATCGATTTCCAAATGCCTTCAATGGTTCTTTGAAGATTTTTATAGGAAGATCTTTATGATCTCTATTTCTATAATACTTATCTCTCTTTTTTTAAAATTTATTTGATGTTTAGAGAAGGATATCTCACATGAATATACTTCTAATTTTAGTTTTATCATGCTTGACTGAATTCTTGGATAAATCTTGAATTATTGAAAAAATCCAAAGGTTTCTTGTAAAGTGTTAAACCAAATAACTTTTGATACACACTTTCATGCTACCATAAATTCAACATATATTGTTGACAATGATATATTTGATTGCTTCTTGCAAGATCATGATATTGCTCCATCTTTTTAAGAAGAAAGTATATCGATATGTCTCCTTCCACAACATCATATGCATAATCACTATCGGTCAGCCTAACTAAATAACAATTTTTCATACTATAAAATACATCAAAATCCCAAGTTCTGTTCAAATGACATAAAAATTTCTATTGAGTTCTTTATGTATCTGCTTACCAAGCCAACTCTATATATGCTTTTTCTGTAAAATAAAAATTTATGCATCCTGTTGTTCAAATTGACTTGATAATATCTCAACAAATTGAAATGAATCATTTCGAATTATTCATGAAAAATTATAACTCATGTATCATCATACCATTACTAGTAAAAATTAAATCATTCATATATAAATAGATAATTAATGTCTCTCCATGTTTTAAAATAAAATATGCTCAGATAAACATTTTTCAAATCTGTGTGCTTCCTGATATGCATCCATGTGACTATATATATATATATATATATATATATATATATATATATATATATATATATATATATATATATATATATCTTTTTCATGGACTTTTTATATAAACTCAAATGATTGTTCAATTTAAACCTTTTTCTTGTAATATTTGATGCAAGATTCACTTAAAGTGGGTTCCATGGAAAAGATAGAGTACTTAACTCCTTAGGTTATTGGGGTAATTATATATTACCTCTCATATTTAACTATGATTAACATTTCTATCTCTATACTTTACAAAGTAGTATTGAGATTCCTACACATACGAAGGTGAAACGTATAATCTCAATTCTTCTTATGTCGTTAACTTTATCGATGAAAAAATCTCACATGTTGTCACCCGCTCAACCTTATCTTAACAAATAACTGTGGTCTTGCTTCACCGTCTTCCTTGATCGACAAGAAGGAAGAGTAGGAGAGAAAACCCTAGCAGATGGAACTCGGTATAATCCCACCCACACTTTGATCCCCGTCCTCCATGGATCCCTCCTCTCTCCAATCCAAGGCTTCCTTGTCCTCCTCCGCCGATGCCTACTTCTCCTCGCACCGAACCCAACTCCACCCCTACTTGCACTCATTATGTATGCTTGGATAGCTGCCAACTATAAAATAAATGGACCCATAATGTGTTATATTGTCAATTTCATTTACATTCATGCGTCGAGGAACTATCATATTGAAATCATGCTTTAATAAAAATTCTATGACCAGCCAATAGTGCAGCAGCCATGGCCCCCATTGCAACCTGCTTGTCAGTGTTTCTAGGGATTCAACCCACGGTCTAAAAGATAAGAATAATTATTGTAAAAATTTTATTGAAGAAGTAAAAAATACATCAATACGACAAGGGTGAAGCTTCGCTTTTCTCAGCTTTTCTCAATGCTTTGATACTATGATAAAAAAGAATAGAAGATAAGAACATTTATTATAGAAATTTTATTGAAAAAGTGAAAAATGCTTCAATACATTAACATGTTCCCTCTCTTATTTATACAAATTAGGAGAAAGAATTTCCCTCAACAGAATAGAGGATTTTTTTCAACAGAATAGAAATATTTCCAGTTGAGGAAATCTTATCAAGAACCACTCTACGCTGTGGGGAAAGAGATATTCCTCGAGTTACCCAACACGCAGCTGCCTGCCAACCCCGTGAGAGTGTCAACCATACAAGCATGCAAACTGCGTATCGAGAAACCTAATAATCTGCCAAAAACATTTTATTTATTATTCCAAATCACATAACAGAATATATTGAGAACATTTCACTTAATTCTGATAATTTTGGAGCTTTCACTACATTAAGGAGTTTGATGAATTTGTCTATTTTTAGGAAAGCTTCATAATAATAAAAAAAATTAGTGCAGTATGCAAGTATAGATCCATAAAAATAACATCATAAGCATCCATCACTCCGCCGACAGAAGACTGTTCATTTCTGATCATTACGTATAGTTCAATGGATGATTAAGAAAATATCAAATTGGTCATCAGGCAGCCTTTTAGCACAACCCAACTTTGTCTTTTTGGTAAATAAGTTTCTCATCTCTTAGCCACTTGTGAAAGCCGGAGATATATTATGATTCAATAAATATGCATTCAATATTGACTCAAAATAAAAATAAAAAATTTAATATTTACTAAAGATTTTATCATTTGATAATTTAATAATAGGATCTTGACCTTTATGTCTCATTCTCACTCTTCTCATGGTAGTACCTAGTACTGTTGTTGTTGCTTGGGGCCATTGCAATCCTCCGATCCTTGATTCTCGTCGTGTTGTACCCAACGAGGTCCAAGAACTCATCGATCTTGGTGAATAGTAGGAGCATCACGATAGAAGTGGAGACGCATAGGCAGCAAGCTTCTCTAACGATGACGAGGCCACCATTGGTCAGGGCAGGGATGACGAAGCGATGATGAGTAGGTTGGAATAGGTGCAACGGGTGAGCGGTGGGCGAGCGGGGGTTCGATGGGCGATAAAGTGCTACGATCGAGGGGCGAGCGAGTAGGGTGCAGCGGGCGAGCAATGGGCGAGTAGGTGCGGTGGTTGAGCAAGTGCGGCGGACGAGCGGTAGGCAAGCACGTGCAACGGACGAACTGCAATCAAGTGAGTGCAGCAGTCGAGCAGTGCAGGTGCGACGATTAAGCGAGTGTGGCAAATGAGAGTAGGTTGGAAAGAGGAGAGGAAGAGAAAATCGGTTAGGACGAGAAGGTGATATAAATTTAATAATTTAAAAATAATAAAATTATATTTTTATCCTTTTTCTCATGCTATTTTTGCATGTGACAATACATGCGATTTTTTCCTTTGACGTAGTTAATAACGTAAAAAGAATTAAGGTTAAATATTTCACTTTCACAAGTGCAGGAACCCTAATGCTACTTTTTAAATGATAGAAATCGGGATACTAATCATAGTTAACTATAGGGGATAATCTATAATTACCCTTACGTTATTATTCATTTGTATTTTTATTGTCAGCATATGTGAAAGTCAACTAGAACAAATTTTTATGCATCTACAATACATTTAAAATATTTCTCAGTAAGAATAATATCTTTACTAATTATCTTCAATAAATATAATTAATATCCTTTTTGTCTCTCCATGTTTTAAAACAAAAAAAAAATTTCAAATTTGTGTGCTTTAAGATATGCATGTATGTGACTGTACCAAGCTTTAGGTGCTTGGTTTGAACCAAATAATTTGTTTTGAAAGCCTTTTTTCATAAACTCAAATGATTGCTCTTTTTTTCTTTTTTTTTATATAAATTTTCATGCAAGATTCACTTAAAGTGGGTTCCCTTGGAGAAGGTTTAGTTCGGAAGAATCTTATAGATGTACTTGGCTCCTCAGGTTTGTGTTCAATGCATCTTTATTATTAGCATATATCAAGTCAATTTAAACAAATTTTCGTAGATCAACAATACTTTGGAGGAGATGTAGATAAAAATAATCTGACATATTTATTTGGCTCCTCAGGTTTATGTTCATTGCATCTTTCTTATTGGGGTATGTCAAGTCAACTTAAACATATTTTCATACATCAACAATACCTTGGAGGAGATGTAGATACGAAAAATCTTACATTTGTGATCGGCTCCTCAGGTTTATGGTCAGTGCAACTTTATTATTGGCATATGTCAAGTCAACTTAAACAAATTTTCATACATCTACAATGCACTTCAAATATTTTTTTAGTAAAAATTAATATCTCTACTAATTATCCTTAATAAAAATAATTAATATCCTTCCTATCGTTTCATTTTTTAAATTAAATATACTTGTATAAATATTTTTCATATCCATGTGCTTCATGCATCTACTTGACTATATCAAGTTTTATGTGCTTGATTTAAGCATATAATTTCTTTCATAAACTCAGAATATATAACACTCTACTCATAGTCACATCCAAACCCTACATACATGATTAAAATAGGATATTATTTTTAACTTTTTTATTATGATTAATAGGAGTATAGTGAAAAAAATAGACGATCTTAAAAATAAAATATGATAATTTGCTAAACAAAATGATGGAATTTGGCTATACTGTGAT